AGTTATGGTAGATTAATTATCCAGTGTGCATGGTGAGAAAGAGTCACCCTGGGAGGGATTTTTCAGAAATGCTAGATAATTGCATCCGTTGTTAGAATAGATTATCTATTAGCATTCTTTTATAATATTGTGTTTTAGCAGGTTTTGTATATGCTTATTAATGTTTTTAATTTCTTTAAAGTATATGTATTTTGTAAATAGAGCATGGAGTTCGTCAAAACACTATTAGAATACATTGAAATTACAATACTGTAGAAACAGTGCTCCACAGAAACATTACTTCAGCTTCTTAATGCAAGGTATAATACATTTACTGCCATACTTATTTAATAAGAGCTAAAGTATTGTTTGTAAATACTGTATGTTACAGTATATATTAACTGTGACCACCAGTGAATGTTGGAAGCCAAAATCCAACATTGGCCAAATTATTGATAATCTACTGTATTTGAAAGTTTGTATTTTATTTCATTACCTACAATAACAATTCAGTAATGACTTTAGTTTTTTTTTCTTTATTACTCTTGCGTGAAAGTCATCTTTGTATTGCTTCAATAAATTGTTTTAAATGTGGAAGATATGTGACAATCCGTGTTTAGAGGAGTTATTTTTTTCATTGTGAAAAGTTCATTTTATGATGCTCAAAACTCAATTCTGAATGAGGGCACATGACACTGATATATACAATGGTCCAGCTCAGCGTATTATGCCACTTCATTGAGCTTGATAGCAATGTGTTGAATTTCCTTTCCTTAATTGTACACTTTAACATTTGATGAATCATTTTCAAGCTTTATTTTTCCTAAGGTAGTTATTTTGCAAGGCAAATTAGAATCCAAGAGATATCAGTGTGCAGTCTTGATTCAGGATCGCACCTGTTTGTAATTGCATTTCCCCATTAACATTTGGGGTTGAATCTTGTTTTGAGTCACAGATTAGTTAATTTTACCTTTATTTAGCAGTGCGGTTATGGAGGCTGTGGACATTTGACTGTGGACTGAGTGATTAGAGCAGTGAATCTACAATAAGGCCTGAAATGTTTGGACAGTGAAAACTCATTTCCTGAATAACGTTTCCTGCTCTGTTTTGACCGATGCCAGAGCTTCAGTGTTCTTACCTGTTCTGGTGACAGAATGATGACTGTGGAACCGGTTTAATGTCACACCATTGCCTAATCAAAGGCTTGTACTGACTTGCACATTACAATAACAGTTGCCCTTTCAGCTAAATCTGAGAAATTATTCAGAAGTGCTGGATGTTTTTGGTAAGTCTAATGCAAAGTAAACTACAGAATTTATTTATACTCTTTATGATTACTTAGAAATGGGTGGTATTTCTCTTTGGTGTAATTATTTAAAGATTTAGACGTTTTCTGTGAACTATCCTTCTGAGCTCTGTGCCTTCCCCTTATTTGTGGTTAGGTACAACCCTGACCATGTAATCCAAACATATTTGGTATGTTTTTAACTTTGATCTTTGTACTCATAGGGTGAGATTTACAGAACTAAATCTGTGGTTGACACTCTGCTGAGTCAGACCTAGACGTGCCTAAAACAATAGAAAACAAATGGGAATATTGCAAAAAGAGATGTTTAGATAGTTGTGTGATGTCTGAAACTAACAAAGAACAAGTGCAGTAAGAAATCAGTGCCAAAGCGATGAATTTTATGGTAAAAGACTGTAAAACCCACATCTTAACATCTAACATTGAATTGAATTTAGTTTTACATAATTAAAATGTGAAATGAATGTTATACTATAATGGAATCCATGAACTAGCAAACCCATTCTACTATTAGATTGTATCTTATTTTAATCAACTCAGTTCAAATTCTGCTAAAGAACGTTGTTGATGTCAGAATAGGTTTTGAGTATTTAACCTTTGTTGCATGAAACCATGTTATTAGATTTAATTCTTAACAGATCTCTTTCTTTTACCTGACATTTGTGAGCTACACGACCTACTGTACCTACACTAAATTGGTCAAGTCATAGGAATTTGATGCATGCAATGTTATCTTAGCTGTTAAGGTCACTTCCTTGGAAACAGAAATTGAGGTTAAGTATTGTTCTACTGACAGGAGTCAGAATAAGACATAGTCTAAAACAATACAGTACAAATGAAAAAACAAAGGTCCACAAACTTCTTAAAAAGCTCAAATATTATGCTTTAGTTTTCCCCCATTTTAAACATCTGGTTTATTGCCTTTCAAAAAAATGGACAGACATTGTATTAGAAGACATTATTTTACGTTGTGAGGAAAAGTATTTGAAATTTAAGAAGTATATTTTGATCAACTTTTATAACTTGTTGAACTGCATTAGAAAACATAACTATAACATATACAAACATTGTCTGTGATGGATTCTAGTTGGGCACAGTTAAACCGGTCTAAGTGGAATACAGAGGTGGATATTTGGCATTTCTTTAACTACACTATTTTTATACTGTATTGACTAATTCCAAGTAAATTATAGCAGCTGTTTTAATACCATTCACTTCAAAGCATGTTATGTGATAATATGGATCAAGGCTTGAACAATATCTTTTATGAAGTTTGGTTATGTAAAACTCTTGCTCATAAAATCTTTTCAACCATAATGTAAATATACCATGTCTGGCTATAAACATTTTATTGCTGCTTTCATAGCTAGAGGTGATTTTCAAATCTCCTCACAAAGGTGTGTCAAAAACAAGTGTTCACACAGCAGCATTCCTTTTGAAGTATGTAAATAGGGTAGAATTAAGTTTGTATTTTCTTAGCAGAAGTAGTTTGTGACTGTGAAGCTTTCTCAGGCTTTTAAATAAGTTATTTACCTGTTGAGGTTCCTGTCGGACCAAGATCATTGCTAAAACTTCCAGAGAATATAATATAATAATATGAAGAGTACATGGCAGTTGAAAGTTTTTAGTTTAGACTTCTAGGTTTCTTAATGAAAAGCATTAGTTTTAAAAGACTTACATTATGATGGGTCTCTTTGGGATCTGTCTCTTCCTGCACCTACAAATAAACAGGCATACACAAACTGTCAGACTACAAGAAAAGGTAAAATACAGTAGTAGCTGAAAATATGAAAACACCTCTTTAACATGATCAGGCTTGTTCAACTGTGAGTAAGAAACAAGACAGGAAAGGTGCTAGTTCTGGATTTAGTATATGAAAAGTCAGTTAAAGGAAAGATCAACCTACCAGTCCAAGGAACAGAAATGTGCAGACAAAAGCTTTGTTTACGTCGTCTCCAGGCTTTCAGGTTACCCTGATTAAATCCAACTCTCTTGTCTCTGTTTTTGGTTTCCTGTATCACTCCCTAGATCCGTTTCCCCTTTATCCCAGATATCCCAGCATTCAGAGCGCCCCAAAATAAATCAGGAAGAGTCACTTTGAAAACCCAGCACCTGCGACTAACGCACTTAAGTGTAGTGAGCTCTGACAACCAGGTAGAGTGCTTATACAAAACAGGGATTGTGTGCACACGCCCTCAAGCCAAATAACTACAGTAATTGGGTGAACTTTCTTTTTTTTTAAAGTCTACCTAGAGAGTAAGGCGGGAGGGTTTTCACCTGAACAAGAGATTTGATAGGTCACAGGTTTGTTATATGTTTTCTGCTGTTTTTACTATAAAGCAATTTCATACACTTAACAATTATAATGAATGCATACAACCTGTAGTGTTTGTAGTCTTTTACTTGGACTGTATAATCTTTTACCTGGACTTTATTTTTAAGTGTATTAAGTCTTTTACTTTTTCATTCTTAGTTTTTTACCTTTACCTTATTTTCCTTACATTCTTTTGCTTTTAGTCTTTTACTTAGTATACTTTAAGAGCAAAGTAAAAAGTAAAGTTTTTTTCCATGCTGAAAAGATACACAACGTTTGGCTTTTTTGGATCCTTCTTGAGGTGAACTTTAAAAGCTATGAGAAAAACCCAAGAAACCAAAACATGATTGCTAATCTTTGTGTCATTGTCTCTGCACTCTGAATTTCCTTTATTCCATAGGATAGGCTCTAGTGACTTTCCCAGAACCATGCAAATTCCCACTCAATGCTGAAAGAAAGACATTACATTACGCAATGCTACACATTCAGAGCAGAAGTACAGGCACAAACATGCTTAGTGTCTGCTGAAAATATACGTCATCTCTTGCTAGAAATGTTGATTTATAGTATTGTCGCTCTATGTGCCTCACAGTTTTACAGCCCTTTGTATTTTGTTGTTTTTATTTTCTTTTTATGAAAAAATCTGTTCCACTGTTAAAGCTGTTGTTATATATTCAACATACATTTTGGAAATGATTTCATATGGGCAGCCTTTACAAGTTCACAAAACAATAGCGTTTTAAAACTCCCTCCTTGCCTTTTTTTACCACATTTTGTGTTAATTGCATTTTTGTCTGTGTGGGGAGCTTTGCTATTTTTTGTAATAACTTTAATATATTATACATAGATATTAAATGCTTAATTCGTTCTGCATTACCACAACACACGTTATTTTATCATGTCTTAAAGACAGCTTCTGTTGTTTAGTTCAGTGTTAACTTACATTCTAAGGAAGATAATATTAAAACAAATGGTTCTGAAATATTTATGTATTTTAAAGGACAAATAATTCATCATGTTATTAGTTTTTACCATGTGAAACCAAGATTGTAAACCTGTAAGCACGTAAAGACCTGCTCAACACACTCTTAAATGTTAGGAATCCCCAGTAAATGTCATATTGGACTTCTGCAGATTACATAAACGGATGTGAGATGGATTCTAAAAGGTCCTGAAAAGTTGGTTACCAAGCCTCATAGTTTTTCTATTAGGATGTCCTATTTTTGAGTTGGTCAGGAGGGTAAGATAACAGGCTATTCCACTTGTCCACTAGTTTCAGTTTTAGTCTGAGATCTATAAATTGATCTTCACAGGGAAGGTGATGACTAACTTTTGCTTCCTAACCAAGAACACACTGCCTGCCCACTGGCAGCTGTTCCTAATATACTGAGGAGGTGTTGATTCCGGTATTTATTTGTTGTGTTTTAAATGCCTTTCTGCATTTCTTTTTGGCAAGAGAATATTTAACAGGTTTTGAATTAAAGCACATCTTTAACAATAAAAGACCAGTGTTTTTGAGATAAACTTCCAAAAGAGACAAGTCTGCTTTTAAACCTGCTGTGTAGAATTCTAAGTCATTTCTATTTTTCCGATTATCATATTTCTAAGAGTTTCTTTGCACAAGAGTGACTTTAAACTGTAGAAGAACAATCTTCTGAATGCATATCTTGAATGCATTCAGAAGATCTTACGTAGGAGATTCAGGAGATCTTACGTGGAAAAATTCCTTCTTCTGAAGAATCTGAACCATTTGGTTGGCTCTCTTGATTTTTATTGATCTCCCTATGCTGATTTATTTGAGCTTTTATGCTTTAATACCCTTCATGTGAATTGACTATGCATGACTGCATTTCTTACTTCCCTGTGTAGCTATTGGATACCATATAACATCAGCATACCTTAACTGCCAGACTTTCTTTTACATTTTCGCACTAAAGGTAATGAAGCCACTTAACAGTCTTTCAGATTCCATTTAATTAAAAAAGGCATATTGAAGAGTCCATTTTAAAGATTCTTACTGTTACAAGAGTGTAGTTCTTACTACACATGTAGTATCCAAGGACATGCATTTTAGAGTGAAAGTGATGATAGAGCTACAATAGGTAACTCTTTTCATTGGCTGCTTTTTAGAAGTCTTTCACTTTAATAGAAATGGCAGAGCTGCTCCCACTAAACGTCAGTGTGTGAAGGTCTTACAGAACATTCTGATAGGTATAATTGCCAGTGATTGTTCAAATAACTGACTAATCATAACATTTACTTAGGATTAGACAATTAATTCCGACAACATTTTTTGTGATTTAAGCAAACAGCGATTTAACTCAATCGGACAAATGGAACAAGGCAAAAATTTCTCTGGGTATTGCAAACACAAGAAACAATTACAGGCAATGAGTCCTGTGGCAATCATTTTTTATGCTAGTAAAGCATGTCTTTAGCTGATTTGTTTAGTATTAGAGCAAGTGATAGCTTTACAGTTAACTTTCCTCCCCTTTTTTGTGGAAGTAGTAAGAAATGTGCATACTGGCTTAGGTTACTTAGAAATTTACTTCCTTAACTGATTTGAGGTTGTCAACTGTTAAACTTTGCCTTTTTGAAAATGTGTAAAAGCACACAGTATGTCTTGACAGGAAGATGAGCTTGGATCATTAAGGTATACAGAGATATAATTCATTGCCGCACATCAAAAAGGTCCAGAGGTGCAGTATGAGCCTGTATCATATTGTTTTGTTTCTGTTACGAATGAAATGCTCTCCTGGAGATAAATGCTGCAGCAGTATTCTGATTATGTGCACACATAAGCTAAAGGAGGTTTTACAGGCCTTCATTCATCCTTACATTTTCTAACCGCTTTGTCCAATACAGGGTCGCAGGTGGAGCCAGAGCCTATCCCAGAAAGAAGCAGGTGCAAGGCACGATATACCCTGGGAGGGATGTCAGTCCGTTGCAGGGCAGACACAAAGACAGACAGACACACACACACAGGGCAGTTTTCCCAGAAGCCATTGAACCTGCCAGTATGTCTTTGCACTGTGGGAGGGAACCAACATGAACAGGGGGAGAACATACAAACTCCACATTGAAAGCAATGCCAGATAATTACAAAATAATTTTTCAGTTCTCTACATTGAGTATAGCATTAGAGCTAGAAGAAAGTTGCAGTAAGGTTAGGAATTTAGAAGTAAAGGATTGTGACTCATGAACATGGGCAAACTTTGATAAGATTTAAATGATGTTCTAATGCAGCAGTAAATAACATTTATCTCTGGATCTAACAACTCAAAATGTGCTGGTGACTCACAAAAAAAGTCTGGTATTCTGTAGTTCTAGAACACAAATTGAGAAGCATACCCATTATGAAAATATTCCAATAATTAATTATATTTTAATAATTCTGTTTTACCAAATTTCATATTCACACTTCAGCAGACTATACCATTCACCAATGCATTTCATGTGAAGGAGCACTTATAATGTTAAAGTGGTTTGGATTTGGACTGGTTTTCGGCCTTAGTTTTTTATTTGAAGTATTATCATCTTAAAATAAAGCTGTTCTAGCTGAATGCAGCATGTTCTTTTATACCATGGCTATTATAAGATGAACATATATTTTTTAGTATAAGTATTCTTCAGGTGATGTTTCTTTGAAACAAAAAAGGCACTATGAAGTGAACTTCATACTACATAAACTACATTCAGTTTTATAATGAGTTAACATTCAATTTTGACATTCCACGGCATAAATAATATGATTGAGCTATGGCATAAAATATTCCATTTACAATAATCGTTTGTACTTTGTTGGCTGGGTGTTAAGTGGCAGACTCCTGCTTCTTTCTTACCTAATCTTTAAATGCAGAAGCTGTTCAAAGGAAAAAAAAAGGTTTTGTGATAAAAGTAATACTTTTCTTAGGGTTCTTGAGCATCACCGTTAATGAGGCAGGAAAAAAGACATGCCTCAAAAAGACATTTGTTTCTGTAGACATGAAAGATTTTATAGTTTTCACACGGTAAATTGCTGATGTAAATTTTTTTGCAGATTTGAAACAAATAGTGATGTGAAGTTAAAGGTCAAAAGCTTTAAAGTAAACACTGTGAGAAGGCTTGCATTTCACACCCTGTTTATTTAATGCATTCATTAAATTAAAACACATTTCTCAATATTGGGAATACCTACGGCTAATCTTGTAGATAAGATAAGCCATTTTTAGACAAGCAATGTTACCATACATACTTTACGTCCTCTGTTATTCAGTAACAATAGTAGCATGTACTGTATATATTTTGTGAGATCTGTAATAATTAAGATGTTTGTCTATTTCATAACATTTCCAAAGTTAATATGAAGAAGTGGCCACATTTAATCCATGACTGAATGGCTGCATAAACCAGGATGACACACTAAAGATTTTCAGCCACAGTCCACAGCAGGTCAGATGGAGAAGGAAATTACTTAAGTTGAGTTAAGGCAGAATTTAGGGAAGCCAAACTGTGCAAACCCAGAGTGGAATTTAGCCAGAACATCAGGGTTAACATCTCTGTTCTTTTAAACAGTGCTGGGGGAAGATCCATTAAATATGATATTAATTTTAATACAGTTTTATTTAGAAGCAATCTTCAAAAATGGAATTACTGCACAAAATAACACAGAAATATAGAAGCAGAAATAAAAAGAAAGAGAATAAGTGCATATTGAATTGACTAAGTGAAACCAATAGAACTAAATCTACATTAAAATGCTAAAGCAAAAAAAAATAGGCCTTTAAGTGGCTTTTAAAAATGACCACAGGATGTGGGCAATGCGTTACACTGTTGTGGTGCTGGACAA